CAAACACAACAAACAGTCCATGGGGGTGTGACATCATTCATGTTACCTAATGCACTGCCTAATATTAACAAATTCAAACTTTTTCAAGTGTTAATGATTACTTAATGTAAACAATGTTTTTTATTGACTTTAATTTAAAAGTGCTTATTTTTTCATTGTGATTATTGCTATTTAAGATATATCAGAATATTGTGAAAATGTATTGATTCAATGGTTGTGACAGGCCAGTAGCTGCTTTGAAATTCCAGTTCGCCCCTAAGACACTTGGCAAAGCCAGTCAAATGACTATAGGGTATACATGACTCTGGACAGTAAGCATAACACTATGTTTATAACAAAAGATCTCCGGCAGCTAGCTAGAAGTATTAAAAATATCTTCCAATATATAATCTTCAAATGATCAAGACAACCTTCAAATGACCCATGCAACTATACAACCTTTAAATGAAAGAATTATGCAATCTTCCTAAAGTCTAAAAATGAAATCGAATTCTTTTAGTTGGATATGGTTTGACTATAAATTGAGTCCATAACTCCAATGAGCAAAGCATCTGTGACTAAACAAGTGACAGACTGTGTGCAGGCCAATGGTTTTATCTAAATTATAGTTTGAGTCACGTCACTCATTCTCATTTCAGATGACAGCCCACGATGATAGAGGATCTGCAATTCCTTGAATCACTGTCGCCTCAGTGCTCATATTGCTGGCCCACATCCAGGCTCATGATAGAAGTTAATAGTGGAGAGGAGGGGCGTGACGACAGAACACTGCTGCCAGTGCATGATGAGATGTGCTGATGTTAATTGTGTCCTGTCATTGCTGCTATAAATCCTGCATCACATCTCTCCTTTGTGGAGACTTGCATGCACCGGGTGTCCTTGAGGTCCAGGTAAGGCATGACTCTAATATAATGACTTAAAATAAAGCTGGCTTTTTAAAGGGGTCATATGATGCAATTTCAAGTTTTCCATTCTCTTTGGAGTGTTACAAGCTGTTCATGCATAGATAAGATCCCTCAGACCCAAAGAGATATTCTTTATAAAAGTTAAGACTCGTCCACGCCCTCCTAAAAAGCCGAATTTAAACATGCCCCCACATGTCTACATCACGCCGCAAACGTTTACGCAAAGAAAGAAGGCATAACTTTTATTCTTGCTGTAGTATTGTTGCCGCCGCCATGTCGTGGAGACGCTGTGTGTTTCGTTGTTAAAGTGAAAATACTTAGTTTGGCCTTCCAAAAGAGGACACAACTAGAAATCAGTGGTTAAGTTGTATTTACAACACTGTTCCAGAACAGTTCAACCCAAGTATTCAGATGTGTGCAGCGCATTTTATGGAGGACTGTTTCCTGAACCTGGGAGAGTAGCCTACAATGCTTCTGTACACAAAGGCTGTTTCTATAAAGTGGGGCAATTCCAACTTTGCAAGGACAGTCTGGCGCTTCTGACTTACAGCCTGTAAGTACGTTTTCATATTTAAAGAATTTGCCACTGATGATTCAAACACAAGTTTTGGGCAGTGTAGAGTAGCGCTTGTTGTTTGTCGTTTCTACGATCACAAATGCAGACATGGTTTTATGTTTACGCGGCCGATACGCAACGCAACGCGTAAAAAGACCGTATTCTTTATATTACAGTATTCTGTATTTTATAGTATTCTTAAGTCATTATAATCAGTAATTATATCCCCACTGGACGCAACAAATGCCTCGTTTGTTATGGGTTTTACAGGTTTTGTCTCGTCGCGCCGGAACATGACATCACAGTATGGTTAGGGGCATAACATTTCCGTCACACGCTTGAGGTATTCGGCCAATCACAACGCACTGGATACCTGGCCAATCACAGCACACCTCACTTTTCAGACCGATGAGCTTTGTAAAAATCGATGCGTTTCAGAAAGGCGGGGCATAGAGGAGAAACAATAATGTACAGTATGTGGAAAATAATGTGTTTTTTGAACCTTAAACTGCATAAACACATTGCATTACACCAAATACACAAAACAATGTTATTTTTAGCAACGTCATATGAGCCCTTTAAATAAGTACTTAGCTAAACTACAGACTACTAAAAAAGCAATGAAGGGGGATACACTTTTATATACACTATCGTTCTCTAAAGTTTTTGAGTTTTTTTAAAGGCGTCGAGTTAATGTTTTTGAAAGAAGTCTCCTATGCTCACCATGTCTGCATTTATTTCATCAAAAATATAATAAAACAATAATATTATGTCATTGCTATAGTCTTCAGTGTCGCAGGATCCTTCAGAAATCATTCTAATATGCTGATTTGGTGCTCATATTATTATCAATGTTGAATACAGTCGTGCTGCTTAATATTCTTGATATAGAATTCCTTGATGAATAGAAAGTTCAAATAAACAGCATTTATTTGGAATGGAAATCTTTTATGACCTTTTAAATGTCTTTACTGTCAATGTAGTGCATCCTTGCCAAAAAAAAGTATTTATTTATTTTAAATACATCTTACTGACCCCAAACTTTATTATTTCAATTAGAGCAGTATTGATCTGGTGCGAAAACAAAACAAACAAAAAACAAGAACAGAAAAAAACCAAAACAAAACAAAAAGGGTCACAAAAAGTGAACCACTTATTTTATATTAACCAAATTAATCAGTTTGCTAAACTTTAATGTGCAGTTCAGATTTCCCACCACTACATGAGAGAAAGAACCATTTAAGAGAGCGTATAAAAAAGATCAATGTGCAAACTATGTGATATTAAAAAAGCGGAATGTGGCGATGTCACCAAAAATAGCTTAAATGAAATAGCTACACTGGTTTGAAAACAGCTTAGCTACTATCAAGCTATCAAGTAGTGTCTCTACTTTTAGTTAGTTACTCCGCAGCACTGCTCCGTGAACAGTTTTGGTACCATTCAAATTTATATTTTTATAAACAGGTCACCACTAATCCCAATGTGGCTTCACTGCTCGTCACACCAGACCGGCATTTTTCATCAATAATGTAGACACACACACTCTCTCTCTGCCTCAATTTAAATTCCTTGTGCTTTGCATTATATCTAGAGGGGAAAGTCTTGAGTCTATGAGAAGACAAACAGACAGTGAGAGAAAGACATTCACAAACAAATATAAGCACTCTCTTTTGCATGGCAGGAAGAACTGAGCTGAGAGGCTGACATCTCTAAGCTTCACTATCTGCACTAAGCTCCAGAGCCAAGTAACACACTAATACGCCAGAGAAAGTCAAAATGCTAAAGCACCACACCCAGGGCCTTAGAACCATCTGACTCAGCCTCAGCCCTTCAGCTGTATTTGTGTATGTTATATATTACAAGCATTACGAATACAAACCAGCACCAACCATTCTGCAGTTTAGTAGTAATGCTTTAAACATCTCAAGTGCCTTTCTTTTTTATTTCATTTTCATTTTTTTTTATTAAGCGCAAATCTAAAGGCTGCCTTATCCCCGCTCTGGGCAGTGCCGCAGTTAAAGTAAGAAATGGAAAAATATATTTCTAACTGCTGTGGCCCAATAAAACCGTCAGAGCCAAAGCTAATCTGCATTAATATATCACTCTTCAATATTTCAGTCTTGTAAAATAATAAAAGAGAGAAAGAGAGAGGAAATGAGAAAAGATTTAGCACTTTAACTCAAAAACGCTTTCATAAGACCTCATATTACCCCTAAGAAACTCTCACACTTCTGAACTATGCGTATTCAGCTTTGCGGTCAAAAGTAATGAAGAAATTCAGTCTAATGACAATAGCAGGTAGCTTCCCCGCGGAGCTATTCTGATCCAGGATTCACTTTAAGTGACTCTTATATAATAAACCAATTAAGCAGAAATTGACCTATAGCCTGTAATTGGCGCACTGTGGGATCCGCTGGTGCTCTTTTCTGTAGAATATCAATGGCTCAATTCACCCAGATTTCACCTTGATCAGACCGCTAAAAGTGCCCCCACATTAGTGTTGTGTAGCCGGAAATGTTGCCTGGCATTTAATGCTCATCTCATTCCGTCTTCTCTGCACAATTTCTAGTCAATGACAAACTGTTAATATAAACAAAAGAAAAATGAATGAGTGAATTAGTTCATCAGACAAAAACTTCTGCTTGATGTACATGATTGATACACAAAACATGAACATTCCAAATGCCCAAATGAACAGTCCAAATGAACTGACTCACAAAAATGAAATAACTGAAATAAAAAAATAAAAAAACATGAATCCCAAAGCTGCCTCCAAAAACATTAGAGTTGTGCATCTCCATAACTGAGGCCGATGCGATATGCATCTCAATGCATAACCAACGATACGATACATTAAAGATAGATATGCAGCAGATACGTACGCAATGCGATTCACGCGATTACGTATGATTTCGATTCCATTCAACAAATACATTACGTACCTTACAGCATGTTTCACGGCAGTTTCAAAGTGAAACGTCCAGAGAGTGACGCTAAAACGTTTTTAATACAAAAGTATCAGTTTTCAAATCACGCAGGATGTTAAAATAGTTTTGAAGTCATAACATAATATTCTGCAAGCAATTGTGTGAAAATTAGCCTTTATAAAACAAAACTCTGTTCCTCTAAATCATACTTTGTGTGGAAAGGAATACAAGTTGTTAAAAGAGTTTTATTGCCTCTAGTGTTCATTTCAACTGGAAACTGCAGTGACTCGTACATATACAGTAGGTAAGTTTTTTCAGTTTTGCAGAAATGGAACGTATTTCCAATGAGCCTACGTTGCAACAACGATACATTGTGATACAAATGCCAACTTGTATCCGATGCACACTTTTTAAATCAATGCATTGCATCGTTAACTTTTATGCAGATGCACCGATGCTTACCATCCCTAATAAACATGATATAAAAATGTGTGAAAAGGCCCAAAATAAAATAGGAAATTATCTGATCTGCCATGTGGAGCCGTTTCTGTGCCTCCTGTGATTTCAGACCTGCATGAAGAGTTAATGAGAAAATAAATGAAGTACACTTACCCAGAACTCCCAGCCTATAGTTCATGGTGACTACAATGACGTTCCCATATGCTGCAAGCACACTGGCGTCAAACATGTTTCCGGTTCCTTCCATGTAAGAGCCTCCGTGAATGAACAGCATGACTGGTTTCTTCCTGCGGTCACGGATGTCTAAAAAAAAAGTCAAAATGAGGGGAAAGAGAGTGTTGTGTAAGTGAGAGCTACAAAAAGATTAAATGATGAGTCACTTTGTGTAACTCCACATTTTTTTTTTTTTTTTTTATCTGAGAGTGATGGTTGGATCCTTTGAGTGTAAATAGCTAGTCGTTAGGTCACTTTAGACACCAATGAGCTCTTACTCCTCAAGATATAACAACACATACACACACTCACACAGCGAGACAGATGCAGAGGCAGCTGCAATGGAGCGTCGCTATAGTAACTGCCTCATTTTGATTTCCCCATCTACCCAACAGAGGCCATTCCATCAATGTGACTTGCTCCCATTGACTGTTGCCATGGAGATCTATTACACAGACACACATACTTTCACTTTTCTAACCCCTTGACACCTTCAATCACCACCTGAATCTCAGTCGATTTCATTAAAGCAGATAACTGATAAAGTCAGATGCTCCAAGATGCAGCAGGAGCAAACACACAAACACAAATGTATCCAAAGCGTTACTAGAGTAGAGCATCAAACAGATGGTCAGTCAAGAAGGATTACGGACTTATTCATCCATAAAACACACACAGACATGTGCTGTCATACATGACTGGACAGTCAAGCAAATGCTTCGACAATGGCTTCCGTCAACTATTTGGGTTCCAATAATAACAGAATATTCTTTGGTGAATATTTTTGGGTGAACTATCCCTTTAAGACAAAGGAATAATAAAATAAAATAAAATAACATTTTAAATTAAATTAATTTAATTGAAGATATTTTGATTTTGTTGCCCATAGAATTTTGGTATTTGGAAAAAGTTAAACGGACTGAAAAATAGATCTATCTATCTTAGTGTTGGGCCGATAGATGTCCATCGCCGATGGCTGATAGATATTACAATGTTGAGCCGACATCGTGATTCCCCCCTCCCCCCTGCAATCCGCCGTGTCCCAATACCTTGTTCGGAAAGCAAATGACGTGTACTACGGAAACCTTAAAGGGAATAAATACGAGATGGGAGGAAAATATGTATTTCAATACTTTCTCTCACAGTTTTATCATTGGGTAATTATACTGTATATAAATTGCGGGCATCAGGGAGCCGCTATTATGCCTGGCATTGAAACTGTCATGAATCCTGTCCATGGACTTCCGTTCAATCACCACCAGAGGTCACCCTTTCATTACATTGACTCTCGCACAACACAAACTGTTGCATATCACCCCTGACTACATATCCCATCATTCATTGCACTGATTGCACACAGCACTGATTGCACAGCTGTTTCATATCACTCACTCACTATATAACACTCACTCAAACTACCATTCTCTGCTGAGTATTGTTTAGCCTGTACCCTGTTCCGAGTCTCTGTGTTTCCTTGTTTTGCCTTGCCTTGCCTGTTTTCTCGGTTTCTGATTCTTGCCTGTTTCCCTGGATTTATCCCTCTCGTCTCGCCCCGGTGATTCCGTCTGCCGATCGTTGACCTACGCTAGCCCTAGGACTATTCTTGTGTTTTGCCCGCCACATACCTGTTTGCCATTGTTCGACCCTGCCTTTTATGACCACGTCTCTGAAATAAAAGCTTGCAGATGGATCCACACGTCTCCCGTCTCGTCAGCCCCGTTACAGAATACTCAGCCCGACAAGGATCCAGCGGCTTTTCCAAAGGACATTGGCCAGGTATGGACACGGCAAGAATTTTGTTAGCCCTTAAACAGGGCCCCCGATCTTTGGAGAACCATATTCGAGAGTTTTTAGCCATCGCTCACTATTCTGATTTACCAGACTGTTTATTGATAGAGTTTTTCTGCGATGGCATAAATCAACCTCTTAAGTCTAAACTTAGACGCGAGGGTCCACATTCATCACTCGCTCAGTTAATGGATTATGCCTTGTTGACGGTTGGATCTTTGTTTACTGTGGGTGTCGTGGAGGAAGAACGCGACACAGTGTCTGTGACTGAAGTGGCGGCAGTACCAGACACAGAGACTCGGAACAGGGTACAGGCTAAACAATACTCAGCAGAGAATGGTAGTTTGAGTGAGTGTTATATAGTGAGTGAGTGATATGAAACAGCTGTGCAATCAGTGCTGTGTGCAATCAGTGAAACAGCTGTGTGCAATCAGTGCTGTGTGCAATCAGTGCAATGAATGATGGGATATGTAGTCAGGGGTGATATGCAACAGTTTGTGTTGTGCGAGAGTCAATGTAATGAAAGCGTGACCTCTGGTGGTGACTGAACGAAAGTCCATGGACAGGATTCGTGACAGAAACTGCTTTTGAATGCACGATCACTTTTTAGTTTCACTTTCACTTTCGAGATTCGCTATCGCACGTACTCTGTTTATACTATGGAGCGGCAGTACTTACCACACATTTTACAAGATTAGATGTTTGACAGTGGTGATCAGAATCTGCAATTCATTCGCCATCATCCTCAGTCATTTCTCCTAACTGTGTTTATGTGGTAAGTTAAATTTTAAGTACTGTAATATAACAGGCAACCGTTAGCAAACATAATTTGTTTTCCATGAGACTTATGCAATAGAGCAGAAAGAATGTTAATGTTTTTTAGGTTTGGAGATCAGTTAAGGTTATTACTCATAAACCAATTTATCTGCCAGGTTTATTTTTTTTATCTGTCTGTCTGTCTGTGATTTGCATGGTAATGTACATGACAATGTTAATGTATTTGGTAGAGATGCACCGATTGCATTTGGTAGAGATACACCGATTTCTCGGCCGATTCCAATTTCCGATTTTTTTGGAAGTGTGACCTGCTGTTACCGATTTTTGCCGTTTCCGATTTTCTTTCTAAGAACTGTAATTGACAGCATATACAAACAAAAATCTATGCAAATTTCAATGCAAAAATTATTTACATAATAAAATAAATTATTAAACATTACAATACCCCCAATCTGGACTAAGTCAGACTAAAACAGATTTTCTCTCACTTAAACAACTCTCAAAATAAAGTGCTCAGTAACTGGGAAGAGGAAGAAATAGTTAACTTAAAATGAGTTGCTGTATGTAACAAAACAGATGTCATTTCCCACTGTTTATAAATGCTAATTTTTTTCCCCTAACCTTATTAAATGTCATCTTTCACATCAAATTCTTACTTTGTTTCAATTAAGTAAGTTAGAATAATAAGAAACTGTAGAATTGTTACCATTCAAATGAAATTAGTATTAACAACTCTATCAAAACAGTCAATATTTTGTCTAAAATCTAAGTCACTTAATTTTTACTTGTTTATTGAAATACTATTGCATAAAATCAGTCACATTGCAATCGTGTTGATATTGATAGTCGGGGAAACATCATGACCTTATGTTGCTTACCTAAATCATATTTTGTAAATATCTTTTTTTTCTACTGCAGTATGCATCTATACATTTCTGTGAGTTACTTTGTGTGT